CCGACCACAGAGACTGGCGAAACATTAGGAAGAACAACGTTCAGAACACGGCCAAAGAGCCCGAGAAACCCATAACAACCATTAGACCCCGTCCATGAAAGTCTTTGCGAATACAGCTTCTTCAGTACTTGGATGAATAGCAAAACATTTCAACCTAATAAGAAAGAAATCTGGTTGCCATGAGTCAACTTCCAGATAACCTCAAGTAGAGGACTGAGAATCTTCACAGATAGAAGAGTTGCAGTTTAGAATGTCTTCTTGGACACGGAATGTATTCTCGGGGTCTTTATTGACCTTGGCCATCTAGGATTCTATGCATTGGGTGTTCCTGGAATAGAAAGGCTTATAAATGGCTTCTGTTGCTGTGTCGGATGAACCAGGTTGTCATGGATTCGGTTGCGTATACTCCAGGCTGGCCCCATCTTTGCTATCCTTTCACAAGCAGGTGAAGACCTTTCTGTTCAGGCAAGCTTTCCCTTTGTGTCGTACTGCCTAAGGGGGAGGGGGTTTAGATGGACCGTTGTGCCTTACTGCTTTCAATATTTTTGGGGTGTTGCTTCTGCCTACCATTTTTAGTGTGGCATTTGTTTTGAACTTTTATATTTCTTTGCTATCCTTTCACAAGCAGGTGAAGACCTTTCTCTTCAGGCAAGCTTTCCCTTTGTGTCGCGCTGCCTAAGGGGGGGGGGTTAGATGGACCGTTGTGCCTTACTGCTTTCAATATTTTTGGGGTGTTGCTTCTGCCTACCATTTTTAGTGTGGCATTTGTTTTGAACTTTTATATTTTTAGTGTTTTTAGCTTTTAATATTATCTGTTAATGGTGTAAGCCTCTTTGGGTCCTTTTTAAAAAGAGAACGTTGGATAATAAATTGTGTGTTCTTTGTCTTTAGCTCCTTGACTTCATTTCTTGACTTCTCTTGATACGTAGCTGTTTGCAGCATAGCTCTTGGACCTGCTAATCCGGAACTGGAGATGGGCATGGACCGGCAGTTCACGCTGGTTCGGCGGATGGCCAAACAGGTATTTCATGGTTCAGCAGCCCGCCCACCCCCTCTGGTGGTTGCACACTCAGAAGCAGCATCCCGGCTTCCTTGCCCTGCCTCCTCTGGGCGCTGTCCCTGAGTGGTCAATCGCTGGGGGAGGCGCAGTGGCAAACTGTGGAACACCAGTTCGGTCATACACCGAATCAGCACGAACCACCGAACTGGTGGTTTGTGCTGATCTGTATCCAGAACCATCTGTATCCAGTTGGGAAAGTGTGAAGGCAAGAGGAGAAGGGGACGACGGAGGATGAGATGGTTGGACAGGGTCATCGAAGCAACCAATACGAATTTGACCCAACTCCGGGAGGCAGTGGAAGACAGGAGGGCCTGGCGTGCTCTGGTCCATGGGGTTACGAGGAGTCGGACACGACTAAACGACTAAACGATGACGACGTATCCAGAACCATTAACCATGGTTGTCAGGAGATTCTCACTAGGATGTGTAGTCCCCGAAGACAGCTCTTCTCAAGCTCTGCAGATCATTGGCCATGCTACCTTGCTTCACTCCCAAGTACATTTGTCCCAGTTTTGGTTATCTGTTTTCATGCTAGACTGAAGCAGAGAAACAAGGACCTCTTCCACATATCACTAATGGATTGCCTTCTGATCCCCCTTCTCTCCCTGTTCTCCAAGATTAGTTTTTTCATTTGGAAAGGGGTTTAATTCCGCAGGACAGAAGCCTCTCCCTCCCTCAGTCTCCCCTTTGCCACACATGTGGACAACTTAGCCCTGGTTTATTTCGCTGTGGAGACAGGATTTCGTTGCCGAGTTATTGCTGTAAAAGGGGAGCCTCGACATCTGCAGTGCTAATGCAGGTCTTTGATTCTTCCTTTAAAAAAAAAGAAAGAAGGAAAGAGAAGAGAAGAAAGACCACATGCCTTTTGTATACTAATTATAGGGTAACATTCAGTAGGTTCATGGCCTAATACAAGTGGTATGCTACTAATCTGTGAGGCATATGTTTGAAGAAAATCTCGGTTTTATATCCTGAATCTTGAGAGATGCTCCCCCCCTGAGAAACCTCTGTGGTGCAGGAAATTTTCCTAGGAAGAACAAAGGAAATAATAATAGTGTTCTTGAGATCAGTAAGCCATTTTTCCCCACTCTGCCGGGCTTCATACCTAGGGCTTGATCAATTTATTTGTACAATACTTTGTCCCATACCATGCTTTGCACTCCAGACAGTTCACAAAGACAAACAGTATAATTATAATACATAACAACATGAACTCACATACAAGTCACTTAGCATTTCGTCCTTATCAATCGGTCTGTTGACAGTGTCAGCTCTCTACTATATAATCCCATTATACAAATTGCTAAGTGGATCACATTAAAAGGGCCATGAAAAAGATACTGATGTCATGTCAAGCTCATGGCAAAAATAGAGAAAAATAAACAAAATAAACATGTGGTACATCGCTCAGCCTGTTCTTAGGAAGAGGCTCACCTCTCCTCCCAGCCCTGTGTCGTGACGTAGGGAAAAGTTCTTTTCTTCTCCCGCTTTGATACAGATGTGTTGTCAAACAGAAGTGGGTGCAGAGCAGAGGTGAGCAGCTTTGGTGAGCCTGGGGGGCCACACATCACACCCAAAATAAATAACATAAAATTAGTTGTTGGTTTTTTTTTAAAAAAAATGGATACAAACAAGCATGAGGTGAGAATCAGGCAGAGATGTTGGCACGAAAAAAAAAAAAAAAAAAAAGAATGGATGCAAACAAGCATGAGGTGAGAATCAGGCAAAGATGTCGGCACACCTTTGGGTCTGAATTCGAGTCTTTGGCCCCAAGCCCAGAGTGTCAAGCCCCAAATCTGAGTCTTGGCCCCAAGCCCAGAGTGTCAAGCCCCAGATCTGAGTCCCTAGTAAAAACAAGATATTTTTCTGCAGAAAGAAGGGAGGGTGTTTAAGACTTTAATATCAATAGAGTATGGAGACAAGTGTTCTGTACACAACTTAAGTCTTTTATTTGATCAGGGAAGTAAATAAACGACAAATATTCATGGGATAAATCAAAGTCTGCCAATCGCTTGTCTTTAAATCAAATCTGATATAACTTTAAAACTCTTTTAACTCTCTGTTTCAATCTAGATTCTTACAGATCTCTAACTCACTTTCCAGACACTTTCAAGATACAAACCGTCTCTCACTCACAGAATCTCCCCAAGACTCCATACACACGTCTTTATATCCTCCTCCCTCCCGCCTTCCGACCACTCAACGGCTCCTGCTCTAATGTTCTGCTGTGACGGACAGGGGAGGGTGGGGCTCTTCACTACAGGGTGATTGGGTTCTGAGTCATGAGTTTTGAAAAAACCAAACTTGAGTCGAGTCACCAGTGTGAGACTTAAGTCTGACTTGACAGTTCTCGACTGGAGTCCCCATCCTTGGAACCAACCCGCCACCCTCCTCTAAATGTCTTGACTGACGGAGTCTGGTTTTCTAGTTGAGCGAATCTCTTGGAAGATAATTTTGCTTTGTGTACGGGGATAACTCCTTTATTTTTGCTCACCTGCTCCTCTAGTAACAGTTTGGCCGTGGAAATAAATCTCTACCAACGTAGCCAAGTTTAAAAGTAATCTCAATCAAAACTCATTTTGTGACTGTGGCCATGCTCTCTCTCTCTCTTTCTCTCTCTCTTTCTCTCTGTGTGTATGTGTAGTCACAGAACCATGGACCCCTCTCTCTCTCTCTCTCTCTCTCTCTCTCTCTCTCTCTCTCTCTCTCTCTCTCTCTCTCTCTGTATGTGTAGAGTCACACAACCATGGGCATCCTCTTACTAGTACTAATCAGATCTCTAGAAACCTTATTGTCACTCTTCTTTGTATCCATCATGGCCCAAACTCTCACCCTACCTTTCCTCTGATGGCTTGAAAGCTTGGCCTGTCTATCTGGAAGCTGCATTTTTGGGTTCTGGCTCTTGTATTTCTTTGACATGAGCCACAGTACCTTTAATTGGAGCTTGAACGGCTTGTGCAGGGAAAAGAACGGTTGGAAGGGATTGTCCTTAAAATCATCATAGGTCAACAAGGACACCTCGTTCT